CGGGAGGATGTAATGAGGTGGGTGGAGGTGATCAGGGAGGGATGATCAGTGCTGCGAAATGCAGAGCTCTGTCACGGGGGGGGGGAAGCGTCGCTGCATCTGTTTCAGGAATTTTCTAAATTCTTGACGTGCTACCTAGGAGGAGAAATCACGTTATTTTCTGTATGTTTATTACAGCCTCTCCCAAATGCCTGCCCGTCAGCCCTGGCTGGAGGCGGGATGTTGTTGCCCTCCATCCCTCTCTTCTCCTGGGGGGTTTGGCTGATCTTGCACATCCCCGCTGGGCAGCACTGGTGTTGGGGAGATTGCTCACCAAAAAACCACTGTATATTGGATAACGGTGAAGGCAGAATTGAACTGAACCTTGTGAGCACTTGTTAACGTAACATATGAGCTTTCCTGTTGCTAATTTATATGTATTTAGATCAATATAGTATTCTTTCTGGTTGTTATAACCTCAAAAGCTTTTACATAGGAGAAAACACATACAGCCCCAGCAGCGTAAGAATGCAGACAACCGCAGTGTGACTGACAGCAACAAGACCAAATCATGAATGTCTTCTCAAAAATGAGTCTTCGCTGACTATGTGGAAAAACATTTTAAAAATAGATGAAATAGTGGAGGCCCGAGAATCTCTTCCCATGTCTCTGTCTCCTTCCTTTCCAAAACAAACCTTGGCAATGAGAGCAGCAGGTATTTAGGTGTGCAGTTTCATCTGGAGCCACTCAGTCTTCCACACTGATGGGAGCAGTAGGGTCTGATGGATTTTTGGCTCAGCACATTACTAATCAGTGCAACAGAAATGTGCGTGCATCACCGAATTTGTCTTTATACTAAAACCAAGAAAATAACCTGACAATGAAAAATCTAAGCAAATGGTGACTTTAAGCTGTCTTTGGTTTGTGTCTTCATACTGCTATTAACCAGGGATTTCCTAGAGCAGAGAATATTGATTTTTATTTTTATTCTGAACAAACAGAAGCTGAAAACCTTCTGAAAGCGAGACCCAAGAAAACTCCCTTTTCAGAAATTTTCCAGTATTTTCCAAACAAAACTCTGCCTCACCAGACAGCAAAGCCCCGAACTGTGATTTGTAGCTGGGATCCAGCTGGCATCCCCTTCCCAGCTGCACCGGGAGCGCGGTGCCTGGGGCTCCTGCCTGAAAAAGCATCGGCAAGCTGTGCATTTTTATGGATCATTTAATTTTAGAATTTATTACTAGTGATGTTCAGCATTTAGTTAAAAAACAAACAGCCAAACAAAACTAAACAACAACAAAAAAAATCCCCCAAAACCACAAAACACTGAGCTAAAGGTGAGCAGGCCACATTGAGAAGCATGAAGGTGGTACTTTTTAGAAGAAAACTTTCCACGTGACTCGGGCTGTTGCTAGTCTTTTATTTGCTCTTTCTGCTTAGCTCATGAGAAATAAATATTGTCAGTGTAGTGTGCACACAGTGTGGTACATTAATTTCAAACTTGGGTTTTTTGCTAATAATCCTACCCACTCTGAATTAGAAAAAAACAAATATTTTCACTCCCTTTGCATAACATGGAAAAATATTTGCCTCTTACTGCAAAGCTTTGCAAGGAGCCATCGCATGGTGATGTGGAGAAGGGGCCAGATAAAGTACTCTTTCCTGCTATTTAAGGGTTTGACCCTATGGAACCCACAGGGCCATCGGGGCTCTTGTCTTGCACAGGACAAAATCCACTGTCACGATAAATCTTTCCAGAGTCTGTCAGTGCCTGAAAGACAAAACCTGTGATTACTGAATATCTTCCCAGCGTCTTTCAGTGGTGATGGAAATACAGATGTCAATAGCTTAAACTCCCAGCTCATGGAAGCTTGCCCAATGTACGGCTCCAGTGCGTTATTCTGGTACCTCTCCCAGAATTTCTCTCCGGTGTCCCCAAAAGTAGATTATATCTACTTATGCCTGCCATGTTCAGTTTATTCCAGGTGTGCAGCAAATCTCCATCCCTCCCTAGGGCAGGTTTCCCAGCACTGCCAGGAGACTGCCTGCGCAGCAGGCACGGCTGGAGGTTGTCTCGACGCACAGGAGAGCTGCAACAAAAATAAAAGGTGATCAGTAAAGGAGAAGCGTGGGGTGGCATCCGCCCGCAGGTGAGGGCTTGCGCAGGTGTAAGATGGGTAATTGGGCTAATGCCACAGAAATCCCAAGGGGCGATGGGGAAAGGAACGCCGTGTTCAGTCATCAGTGGGTGGGTGTCATCGTGTGCGGACGATGCCGTTCCACTTGGCAACGTCTCCCTGGCAGTACTGCACCTCGTGGTGGGCACGCTCGCTCGAGCAAAGTGTGGGTGAGCTGGAGGGCTTCCAGGCACCACAAAAACCACGCACGTTTGGGGGGAAATGTGATGTCTGAAATGAGGGAGGATGAACCGAGTTTCTTTTAGACTGTTTGTTTAGACAAACAAGGACTGAGAGAATGAGCGCACAAGTCTTTAAATGGGTAAAAGCTTTCTTCAAAAAGAAATTTAGACCTACTCTTTATATCACCAGGGACAAAATAAGTAATGGTTTAAAACCACAGCAAGGTGCGTACCTGTAACTACACGGATGAGTAAGTGCTGGTGCATGTTGGTCCAGGCAGGCTGTGGCTCTCCCTAGAGCTCTGGATCCCTGAGGATGGAGGGGTCCATCGGGACCACCTGGGTTGGGCTGGCTCTGCCTTGGGCAGGCGGGTGGACCAGGTGCCCCAGCAGTCCAGAACCACAGCGTCAGACAGGTAAATGGGGAAGCGAGCTGGTATTTCTCTGAATGCTGGGGGTCTGGGGGTGCTCCCCAGGAGCTCAGCAGCACCTTGGGACCAGCCGCAAACCCACCGGCCGCAGGTGAACTAGCGGTGGAGAAATGTCCTGGGGGTTCTGCTGCAAGTGTTCACGTCTCTCGTACAACTTGACGGAAGTGGTGGGAGCCCTGGCAGGTGGTCCCTGGTCCCCGGGCGGATGGAAACCCTGTGGGAGAGGTAGACCTCCTCCCAGCCATAGACCCGCTTTCGGCAACCTCCATCGATCGTGTGCCCATGCGATAGACTTTCATTGTCTTCCATCATTCAAGTGATGCTTTTGTATGGTTTGTCTCGCACAAGTTTTGCTTTTGTGTGGTTCATCTTGGACATTTTCAGTTGTTATTCTTTTGAATGCTTCAGAAGCACAAGCTGAGCTATGAGCTTTGTGGTGCTCCAAGTAGCTGCTGATGCTGTAGGAGCAAAGGCAAAATGTGACCAATTCACAGCTCTTCAAGCGATCAGTCTCACTCAAAGTTATTTTTTTAAAAGCCTCAACTGCACGAACTGCTTCATTTCTCAGGGAGGAGTAAGCTTTATATGTTCCTGTTATTTTTATGGAGTAACAAAAAAAATCTGATTTTTTTTTTTTTTCCCCCCTATGCAGATTATGGAGAGGTAGTCATGCAAATTGATTATACGTTTATTATCCACTTGAAATTTTAATGTTACTGGTTGAAAGTTAATGAATTTATGGATGGGTTTGATGTTACCATTGGGAAGAGAAAGTTGAAGGCAGAGGGTGTGTTTGCCGGCTGTGGGAAATTGTAGTCTGTCTGCCTGACTTGGGTTAGGACGTGAGTGATAGGCGACAGAGAACCAGTTCTGTTTAATCCTACCCGAAACGCACTCACCCGGTTTTGTTAAACATCAAGACTTGGGTGTAAGTGCTAAGAGCGCGCGTTTGCTTTCCCTGGGCTGTGACAGCAGGACTCTGTGCAATGTCCTCGCGGCTGGAAAAGCAGCCGTGGACGGTGCTGGTGAAGGACGGGTGTGCGATGAGGTGTGCCATGGAGCTGACCCGCCTGCGCGGCGAACCTGGTGTCACCCTGCCCTTTGGTATATCTGGCGCTTCTTTGGTGTGGCTGGTTCCCGTAAAGGCTTACGGTCTCAAAGTGGCGTGCTGAGCGATGGATGAGATGGTGAAAGAAGCAGACAAGAGGCAGTCAGCATTTTACATGTACATAAACACCTTAAAGCAACATCTGGAAAACTGCTTGGGAAAAAATAAACAGATTTTTATTTATAAGTTCTGTGTTTTGGTTTTTATAGTGGTTTTATGATGCACATAAATTACTGTTTAAAAACAGAAAATGTAAAAGAAATTCCAGGGAGAAGGCAATTGTTCAGCCTTTCCTTTGATAATCTCTTTCCTGAGGAATTTGTTGTGTTTTATTTTCAGCTTACGGTGGCCCTTCGCTGGCAACTAGAAAAACTGACAATCGCTTTTTTTCTTTATTTGTACCTGTTTGTAGTTCTTAGCTTAAAACGTTTATTGCTATTTACAATGTTTACTATTTAAAAAGACAAAGTATATTTACTAAAACAAATCTATATCCAGTGTAATACTGGAAAAGTCATGCTGTTATATGGCATTTACAGTTGGCTCGTAATTGCCAAGGTAAGTTTGTTGTTCTTTTAATATGCAAAACGAGATCTCAAAGGCCACCTAAGCCTCTGGGGTTTATGGGGCATTTGCAGAAGACACGATGCAGAAGAAAAGCGGTGCTGGCCCTGTCTTTGCTCGGGACCCTGGGCGCTGCCGTACCCCTCCCCAGGCGAGCCCAGCGGGACCCCGCGGCCTCTCAGCCAGCACCGGTGTTGAGGCTTCATGTGCCTTTTTTTCCAATTCTCAGGTTCTAAATACATCTTGTACGAAGCTAATGCTTATAAGTAGTTATACTTTGTGTTGAGTAACTGAGTTGGAAAAACAGCTTTTTTCAATATGGGATTGATATCTCTTCATGTCTCAGTTGTGTTTTTTACAGCAGATACACAGAATATATATCAGAATCTGCTATGTGGGATAATTTTTACACTGCTGGAAGAAAACGTGATTGAATGTGAATCAAGCTGGAAAACACGCACCAGGCTGAGAGTAACGTAGAGCGTGCTGAAGAAAAGCGGCGTTTAAACAGTTTGCGTATCTAGATGCAAATATCCATTTTACAATTCTTTTTTTTCAGTTGCCCCCACAATTCAGGAACTTAAATCCAGCGGTGTGATGCTTGGAGGGAACGGACTGATACGGTGCGAAGGTGCAGGCGTTCCTGCCCCGGTCTTTGAGTGGTACAAAGGAGAGAGGAAGTAAGTAGCTGGCCCTCGCCGACCCCCTCGTGCCGCTGGGGGTGACCCGGGTGGAAGAGAGAGGAGACCGCCGGGCTGGGGTTGTGCCCCGTGGTGACAAGTCCGGCAGGCTGTCCTGGAATTAATGCCGAGCTTTAAAGAGCTCGGGCGCTCGGAGGCGTCGGCTGCCGACGGCCGTGCCGCGCGGCTTTTGGGGGAGCGCCTCGGTTTCCCTGCGGTTGTGGTTTCTGCGCTCGAAAGCGAGGCGTAAGCAGGCTGGCGGTGGCTGGGCTGTGATAGTGATAATTGCAATAATGAGCCTAACGTTTAAACATGCTTTAGTAATTACAGCCTTTTAACTGTAATAACCAGACAGGCACTGAAAAAGTCTACTAAAAGGATTTCTTTGGTTTTTAAATTCATCACCATAGGTTCCCCACTGAGGGTTTTGTGGGTGAAAAGGTTGTTTCACGAGCAAGACTTTCAACCAAACCTTAATGAGTATGAATTTTCACCCAGTTGTGCCATTAGCGGTCTAGGCCACGGGTTTATAGTCCACAGACTTGAGCAGAGCTGCTGCACGTCACGGCATCCGAGAGGGGCTCAGGGGAGCGCGCCCTGCTCGAACCCTAAAAACTGGCTGTGTGCTTTGCTTTTGTTTACAGTCAGCTTCCCTTTCAGGTCCTTAGTGCTATGTAATGGTAGCAGGCATCTCTGTAGGGTCATCTTCATTTTAAAAAGCAGTTCATTAAACAGGTAGATATTTTTCTCTTTTAATAGGAAATTTTGTTTTACAGCTCTTAGCTTACCTAAAAGCTTATTTTTGTTAGGATTGCGTATTGGCGCAAAAGCAAGCAGATAATGTCCCTTGCAAGCGGCTGTCCCTAGCTTCTGGAATTTCCTGGCTTCCAACCGTTGGGTTTCTCAGCTTGAACATCCCATTAAACCTGGGAGTTGACATGAGAATATTAATGACCATTTTTCATAGAAAGCCATCTGTCAGCTCATTTCTTACTGGCCAGCTGCTCCCCCTCAGGAGCATTAGCTGCTCATCTTCCTTCGTGACTTTTCGGAGCAGTCATAACTATTGCACTTTGACCGTATCCTGAAGCATCCTCTAAAACAATATAATTGATCTTTACTATATGTAACAGTAAATGTTTTTCTTCTGTCAGCAAAATTTGTCTGCATCCTGTTTCCAGAGATGCATATTAAATTGTATACATGTTGGGGGGAGTTGCAGCAGAAACATACTTTACGTAGAAAGTATTGTAGCACAGGTTTTAGCACTCTGGATTCAATTAGCCGTTTCCAGTGTGATAATCGCCTTTCTATTTATAACATTGACCAATTCCTTTCTTCATGAGCACCTTCAGTGCCACAGCAGCAGCAGGAAAGACTGAGCAGAGCATTTCAGGGCACCAAAGTTGTGCCTTCTGTTTCCTGTCTCAGTTGGTGTGTCAGCTGAGGCTTGCTGTAATGAGCAAGAAATGTACTGTCCTGTCGTGTCTTACTGCTCAAGTGTTATGTTAGATGTAATGGTCCATCCTTTTTTTGTTAAACTGTTGTTGGCAGATAGGCTAGACATGTATGACTACAAAGGTACTGGCGATCCCTGAACCTCCACCACTTGCAGGAAAGAGGAAAATACATAGACATTGGTTTTTTTCTTCCAGTATTTCCCCTTTACCTCCGGATGGTGGAAAGCCAGCACAGAATGAGCTTTGGGCAGCTCAGTCATTGTTTTAATGCAAAACTGAGAAGAGTCAGCTCTCATAGGTAGTTCAGAGTAGCATGTACATTATCCTGCAGATAATTTGCAGATACACTACAAGACTAAATTTATATACTGGGAGTGCCCACCCTGCTATATTTTCTGCTAATAGAATAGAGAGAATCCCATTTTCTTCAGCGAGTCTTGGATTGGAACTTTTTTTTTTGTGGATCTGGATGAATTGTTGAATAAATGAACAGTGGGAGTTAGATCTGAAACCCTAAGTGTATGTTCAGCATCTGAAACAAGCCTTTTGGGCCTGTAAACTGTATCGTTGTTACTTAGATTAATGTAAATCCAAACCCACAGTTTCCAGACTCCAGGGATCATCTCATCATAAAACAGCCATTAAAACTAAACATAAAAGCAGTCGCAGACTACATCCAGTTAAAACTGCTGGTCTTTCAAGGCAGAGAGCTTGCAGGACTAATTCTACCTAATCACCAAGCTCACAAGAGTCGCCATTCGTTAACTCCCCGTAAGCGCTGGTGCACAAGCGTGCTTTGCAATATTCTTCCCTGGCCAAGCGCAAGGAGCGAGGAGCCCAAAGCCGGAGAGCTGCTGCTGACGGGAGGCTGGGTGGCTTTCCAGGGCAGGGAGAGGCAGGCTGAACGCCTCCTGTTGTAGTGGGGAAAGGCGAGAAGAGGTCTCACAGGCAGGTTTCAGACCATATAGCACTTTATCTGTCAAAAGCGGCGCTTTGAACTCCACGCGAGAGCTGTCCGGTGGTGCACGGACCCTGAGGTGAGGGTACCCTGAGACAGGGAGGGTGGGGTGAGCTGGGAAAGGACTGGAAATTTGGGGGAAAAGTTAGCAAAAGCATCTTCAAATTGTAAAAGTGTATGGCTTCTGAAACTGTAGAAGGATTCCCTGCAGAGAGGAGAATGGCTTCACTGTGCTGAGTCCTGGTTTCTGAAATTCACAACTGTTCAAGTATGTTATGTTTCAGGGTTACGCAGGAATTAGATCTCAGACATTAAACAGCCACAGGGAAGAAGCCCAAAAGTCACCTATCTAAAAATATTAATTCCCTTATCCTTGACAAAGCAAACAAGACTTACGTTTGAAATAACAAAACTCATTATAATGGCTTAATATATTATAATAGTGTGAAGGTATTCAAAAATGAAACCAAAGGTAGGTACCCCTCGGGGCTGGCACTGATGCATGATCTTCTTCGGATGCGTAGGCATGTTCTCTGGAATAAAACGGAGATCACTCTTCCCTTTATAACCAGTGGTACAAAGCAGCGAGGTGAAGAAAAGTGTAGGGTGGCTGCACACAGCTTAAAATGCTGTTCCAGCCCGAGAAGTAACTTGGTAAAACCCAGACGAGTAATGAACGCTGTGCTCAGTCAATAAGCCAGGCAGAGCAGCACACGGGAGTAATTAATTTAAAAGTAAAAGCATCTGGTTCTTAAAACTGCAAATGGAAATCCTCAAAACTGCTGAGTTTATGCTAACTAATGCCAACTCCTCGGTCTGTTGATTACGTAGCTTATTGATATGCATATCTGTCCGATTCCATTTACTCCACTTCCAGTTCTGGCCCCCCAGTGTCAGCCAGTTCCTAGCAGGGACGTGGAGGGAAGGTGATGCTGTGCAAGCAGCACTGGCGGGAGCGGAGGGAGAGGGAGGAGGGCGAGAGGGAGAGGGGAAGGGGTCTGAGCTGGCACCCCCAGCGCTCGTCCTTTTGGCAGCCTGGGGAAGGCAGCAGATCGCACTCATCAAGCAGACACAGTTAATTTTTGGTACGAACATCGCCTCTGATGGGGCATGGGGACGGCAGAAACCCCAACGCCCCATTGTTGTCTGGGGAAAAAAAAAAAAGGAGTTAAAACCTTACAGCCGTAACATAGAAATGCTGTAGTTCAAGCTGTAGTTATGGGCCAAAAGGATGGAGGTGGCTCGGAAACGGCTGGTAGAAATAAGCTGTGGGTGGAAGCGGAGCCATCGCTCCGGTATGCCGAGGTCCCCGGGACAGGGGCAGGAGAGGGGACGGGGGGGTTCAAATCCTGAAAGGCATCGGGAAGGGAGGGAGGCTGTGGCCTCTCCGCTGGGAAGGGGCATCCCGAGGGAAGCGTCTGCCCTGGGGCTGGAGCGAGGACCTGGGGTGAGCTGCCGGACGCCTGCCTGCTCTGCCCGCCGAGCATCACCTCCACGGCACCCGCTGCTGCCGCGCCGGTAATGCCGTCACCAGCTTCGTGTGCTGGCAGGGGAGAGTCATAGCAGGGGGTGTGTGTTTTGGAGCGGAGGAGGCTCTCGGGTTTTTACGCGGGAGAGGCCGAAAGAGGAGGGACAGGCATCGGCAGTTTTAGGAGGAGAACATCCGCCTGCAGAAGCACGTGCGTAGGTTGAAAGGACAAGCTTCTGACTTTCACGAGTCTGGAGGAAAGATGAATCTTCTGACTGCAGCGTTCACCCCAAACCAGGCGTTTCAATCCCATTTTTTTATGTTTCTCGCGAAACCGCGTGTGTCCATGGGATGTGCTATGTCCTGTCCCGGACAATGGGCTGCGCAGAGCAGACCAGAGTCCTTCACAGCAGCACAGACCGCACAGGGAAGAGAAACCCCCTGACTGCCCACCAGCATGTAGTGATTAAATGGGAGCAGAGGCACTCCTGTACTGATGAGAAGTATTCAGCCCACAATATGCAGAAGTGGAATTAATGGTAGACTTGAAATGTTTTAGACGGAATGCTAAGAGATTGTTTAGACAGAATGCTAAAAGATTGCATTCATTCCCAGGATATATGATTGTATCTTTCAATATCTCAAACAAAAATTGTATACTTAATCTGGAACTCTGCTCCTCATGTGAAATATAAGGAATTATGACTAATCAACTGTAGCTAGTATTTTAATAATGTGGTTACCCGTCTCATCTCCTTGTTTGACCAGATGTGGTTTGCCTACAACAGCAACATTTAAATCAGTCATCTTTCTTTGCCCCAGTGCAGCAGGGGTGCTTCTGACATGGCTTTGGAAGCAACGTCAGAAGACCTGCAGAGTTCCTATGAAATTTGGGGTGGGAAGCTCAAAGCCAGGGAAACAGAGCTGGGGGAAAAGAGCCCTGGTTTGGCTTTTTCCTACGCTTCATTACCTGGGTTCTGTTCAGGTTGCTGTCTCAGGATGCGGTGCTGCTGTAGCACACCTTTGCTAATTGCCAGTCTAATTTGTAACTGTAGGGGCCTGTAAAATAAACTGTGGTCACGACCCTGCGTAGTTGCATTTCTGGCTGCCTCATCCCCACCTGCCGTCAGCTGGAGGTGTGTGAGGACACAAGCAATCTCCAGAGTCTGAAAAAACACTCTGAAAGACTTAGCATGATACTTTTCTGCCCCAAATAGGGTATTTACATTTTTAGTTGGGTTTGCCCAATTTAAAATCTAAGCTCCCCATCTGAGAGTTTATATCCTGTCCTGTGGCCAGGCAGGCCACAGGTGTCGGTCTTCATTTTCTTTTGACTGTAGGACGCAGAGGCAGAAACTGTTCCCCTCAACACCCCACAACTCCAGTGTTGCCCATGGCTTCTCTGATCTGGTGCTATGATAATTTTGCTCGACAGACTACATTGGCAGCTTGCAAACAGCTTTCTGTGCTACCAGTTATGCCTGTAAAGAAAGAAAAAAAAAATTATTGCTTATGGTATATGAGTTACAGAAATTTTCTTTTTGCTTTCTAGACTGATCAATGGTCAACAAGGAATTACTATTAAAAATTATAGTACAAGATCACTTCTTACTGTTACCAATGTGACAGAAGAGCATTTTGGCAACTATACATGTGTCGCTGCCAACAAGCTAGGGACGACCAATGCCAGCCTGCCTCTCAACCGTAAGTAACGTGGACATGTGGCAAATGTTCATGGTTGTTTGTTTCCACATACATGGATTCAAAAGCCAAAAAATAGTAGTGTGCTTTTTTCCCCTGGTTCCTTTGCAAGGCGTATAAATACCATTGCGTTCCTCAGTACTGGGAAATAATACACCTGGTTATTTTTTCTGTACTGCAGATGGGTTTCTGTTCTGAAAGTGAAGGTACATTTTGGGGGTATCAATGAGTTATGAATCTACAAAAACCCCACAACTAAACACAACCCGCCATCGTGGTATAGAGGCAGAATTAGCGTTACAGAATCTTCCTGCTCAGAATAGCAATAACAGATCCCTAAGGTACCACTGTAAACAAAAACTTTTCCAGCAAGTTTCAAGGAGTATACTGAGCTGAATAACTGGGGTGTGCCAGAGCCCTGCTCCCAGGTCAGTTTGTCGGTCGTGGCCTCTGGTATGGTGATGTTGCGGAGGACTCGAAGTTAAATCTTTTGGAAAAGACAATAAGCGTTGTAATAGGTAAAGCAAAGCATTGAGATTTTTAGCATGAAGGTTACCTAAAATGGGTCTCAAATGTCCTGCTTGAAAGATATTTTTATCTGTGAATTTGTAGTATTTCACATTTGTTGAATATCTAGCCATCTGTTAGTGGCATCCAAAGATGTTCGTAGTTGAACTTTGGTGCTAATCTGTTGCAATAGTGATAAAACTGAAAGACAAAACTTAGAATATATACTACACACTTTTCTCTACATAAAGAGATTACTTATTGAGTGGAAATGTGGATTTTCAGTTGCTTAAATCCTAGGGTTATTGCCTTCTAGCAGTGAAACTTCCTTCTGAATATACTTTCTATATGATATGTATTGTCAGGGTATTCTAAATTACTGCAGAAGAGACATAATAAGCAGAAAACAGCAGGAAGCCTTTGCTGCCATTTTATTTAATATTTGAAAAATCATTAACAAAGTGGAAACAATGTTACGCTTATTTTAAACAGAAAATGCAAGAAGTGAAAACAAAGGAATATTATGCCAGAAGCAGATAGTATTTGGTGTATTTGCCATTCAGAGAAGGTAAAATGAAGGTTTGGTTTAATTTTGAACAGAGCAGAGCTGAATCTCTCTTAGCTGCTGCCAGGATTTTATCAGTTTTGTATTGTTGAGATACCATGTAGCCACCCTTAAAAAGCACTTTGAGATGCAGAGGTTGAAAATGTCATATAAGTACCAAGTACGTTGTTACAAATCATAAAAATAGGTGTTCTCCGTCAGGGAAGAGATGGGATGTGTGAAGCAGAACAGTGTGAGAGAAAATACTGAAAACTGGGTCTGATCCTGACCTCACAGAATGGAATATGGGAGTGATGTTAGCCCAGAGGTTTGACTTCAGGATGACATGTCTTATTTTATACTATCATTTTTTGGATCAAATCAAAACAAGGAGAGGTTTCCAAAAGGTGGTGATCTAGATTTCAGTTGGGAATGAAGATCATTTGGTGGAGTATTTTCCTTGCACATAGTCTGCATTAATGTTATCTAGAAAGAGTATCACTTTAAAAAAAAAAACAAAAACATAACAGACCATCACAGGGTAGCAACTTAAGTACGGACTCCTTAATCCTTCAGAGACAATTTTCTCTTGTGAAACACTACTTACATTTTATTTTGTTGGCAATGATAGCTGAACATATGCGCTGGTTCAGGTATGTGTGGGGGAAGTGTTAGCAGTTAATGGTTGGCTGCAACATTTGATAGTCAAATGCAGGGTTAAGTATAATTTGATCATCATGTTACTTGACAAATGTTAAAAATTAGATGTTGATGTCTTATTTCAGTGTGTATTTTAAACTGTTAATTGCATTGGTGCAATACGGTCCGAGATGCGGAGTGGTCGGAATAGCATCATTAGCACAGCTGCCAGTAACGGCCGCGATTCGGGAGCCCCGCCATGTGCCCCGCTGCATTCCCGTGCACTATCACAACAGGTGTGCAAAGACACGGGGGTTTTTATCAAAACGCTGTCACAACGCGCAGCTACAGCGGGAGCGCTTCAAATCCTGAGCGTGGATGCCTGCACACCTCTGCTGTTAGGTATTGGCACCTTGCCCAATATTGCTAAGTAATTGCTAATTGGCTGTTTCTCTCTGCTGTTGGGTTTTTTTAAGAAAAATGCGTATAGTAGAGTTAGAAAAACTGTATTTTCTTTATTTGCACATCCCCGTATAATATATAAATGATATTGTAGCTGTGCACAGCTGGGAGTCTTTCTCAGGGACAGAGCTAAGAATATTCTCCGTTATTGGTGTCTGCATCCTTGTACAGATATAAAACTCAAGGGTGCCAGAAAAAGGATTATTTCTTCTACTACAGAGAGGGCCCTGGCTTTCTGTGATCCATAAAGGCAACCTTGAGCTAATAGAAAGTCATGAAGTGGGTAAAGGGATGTCAGGACAAGGTAAAAGCTGACTTTGTGTGGCTGCGACGTGGATTGAGGAAGGGAGAGGGTAGATGAATGGACCTGTACCTGACAGTGCCTGCGGGGTGGATGGGGTAGGAGGAGAACTTGTCTGGGGTATGGCTGATCATCCGTGGCCAGAGGACAACCCTACCGCTGCTGTGAGCTGGGGACGCCCAGCAGAAGGTCACCCAGAGCCGCTTCTGTCCCGGGGACAGATAGCCAGATCAGTTTGCAGAAGAACCTCACGTCTGGGGAGTTACGAGCATCCCAGATCCTGTGAACGTAAGGAAATTTATCATACCCCTAACGGAAGACTTGTTGGCCATGTCTAAGATCTAGCTATTAATAATAAATTCAGCAGCTGTAAAATAGAAAGACTGAGCCTTGCGGGAAAAATACAGAGAAGCAGTGGTTCCAATAAATTAATAATGAATGGCAATTTACTAATTATTCATGGCTAAGTCCTCTGTATCATCCAAATGTGTTGTGTTTTGTGGGTAAGTGTATGAAGTACGTGATCCTCCCAGAGCACCCGCGTGAGGAGTGCTTGTTGGACAGTCCCATCCTGCCATCTACGGGCCTAATTGATCAGATGTTTAGCACTGCCTCTGCTGGCTTTTCCCAGAATTTCGGGTACTTAAGAAGAAGAAGAATGTAGTCCTTCCCTGTAAATAAAGCATGGATTTGCTGATTCATTAAACCCAGGAGATGAGGTGTTACGGTGTGTACCCAGGGTAAGAGGTTCCATCTTCAGGGGCGAGGAGCCAACAGGGAATGGAATTGCCCTTTTTTAATTAAGCAGATTTTGCTCTTAAATTAGCACAATCTTAATTCAAGACAAAAGGCATTTTCCTACAAACAAATTTGCAAGGCCATTGTGAGGGGAGGGAGTTATCATTAACCATTAGCACCGAGGTAGGTTTATTCGACCGTTTTTCTCAAGCAGGCAAAACTGAGATGGTCTCTATTGCTGCTAAAGCAGCAACGTCCTTACCGAGATGTCTCCTGTCCTTGTGCTTTCCCGGCCAGAAGCCATGGTTGGTAGTGGATTTCTTACTTCCTCTTACCAAAGCTGAGTCGTGGCAGAAGGTTTTTCCTACCTTTCATCTGCGAGGATAAAGGAGGAGCCGTTGGTCAGCCCCTGCTCCCCGCAGCGGGACGTGGGGTGAGATGGTCCCACCACAAACCCTTGATGAGCTGCCGGAGATCTTGGGCCGAGCACTGGGCTCTCAGCTCTGCTCCGTGGCACCAAAGGTCCAGGCTGTGTAAGTCGGGTTGTAGGGTGCATCGTTTTAGCATCCTGGCTCGGTCAGGGGTGCAATGCCAACCCCACACCTCTGCGAGCCCGGCAGGCACAACTGTCCTCATCTCTGCCTGAGCGCTCGTTGAATTAGGGCAGGAAACTGAGCAGCGGTTGAAATGCTGCGGTTTTAATCTGCATGTAGATTTAATCTATATATCTATAGAAACGATAAATCTAGTTAAGAGACTGTTCATAAAGGCATTAAATTCACCACTACGTGTGTGATCTCTGTGTGTCCCCTGAAGATATGTCATCCACAAAAGTCTGGATTCATGTCAGCCATCACCTCGCAGAAGATGGAAATAATCATTACTTCTCTAGTAGGTATGTGTGTGTTTATTCTTAAGTAAAGGTATTATTTTTATTTTCTAAAGAGCACCTCCTGCACATTCCCTAGTATTTTTAGGAATGCTATAAATAACTTGTCAGGCAAGTGGTACCTTTCTTAAGAAAACTTGTAATACAGAGGAATCATCCATGTCCATTACTAACAGCTGCCAAAGAGATTACTTCCTTTAAATGGCTGGTTGTATGATCCACAGGTGTTACTGATGTTCAGGTTTATACAGAAATCTTAGATATATTGTCAGTAATTATTCAAAAACACAAACAATTGTGAAGAGCTGCAGAAAAGGTCAGTAGTGACATTTGGAAGGAGAAGGAACACAGCAAGGTGTGAGAGAGATGTGGTAGTATTTTCTGTGCTAATTTAATTGCTGCAGCTAAACAGACCTACTTTATTGCATAAGCATCCAACTGTGAACTTATGGTTAGTGCAACATGCTTATAATCTTGTCTCAAACATTTCTACGTTCCAGGAAGTGCCAGACCGTGCCCTCAATTTATATGTGTTGATTGCATTGTGTCCTGGTTCCTACATAGAGATTCCTGATTAAACTGCTGTATTAATATTTTTAATACATTGGGTTTCACATCTGAAATGCAAAAAAAAATCAATATTCTTCCAAAAATTTAAATTAACTTATTGTAAATTGCACATAACATGTAATAATATGCATGTTCCTCAGTGGCACTATGTGTAGTTAGCGTGGCGTTGGCTACATCTACTGGAACGTCAAAGACACAGAGGTATTGAGGGTATCTGCGAAGTGGTATAATGGCCTTGCCATGACACATCTTCGAAATATGGGGACAGGCAACCACTTCCCATGGTCATTTCCTAGCAGTGCCAAGTCATGAAAATCAAAGAAAAACTAGGCTTAAGGGGACTTTGGAGATCA